GTGCCCCCGAGAACATGCTCTCTATGTGCCTGTGGGGTGACCCACCAGTGAACACAGTCCATGGACTGAATGACCTTTAGGGGTGGGTACCATTCTAATCCTTACTTTGCAGATGAGATATGGAGGATCAGACGGATGAAAATGCTTGCTCCAGGTCACAGCAGGAGTGCTGGGCCAGGACTGCCCTACCTCAGAGCCAATACTCATGTTCCTCTGCCTGAATGTGTTTGTAATTGTCATGTTATAGGGCTTCTGTGCATGGGCACAGACATCAGAAGACCTCCTCACATCTTTAGTGTCCTTGTGCCCAAGCATTTACATACTGACATATGTATACTTTATTTGGCCCAGCCAGTGTTGCTCAGTGATTGAGCATTGACCCATGAACAAAGAAGTCACAGGTTTGATTCCTGGTCAGGGCTCATGCCCAGGTTGCCTGCTTGATCCCAGGTAGAGGGTGTGTAGGAGGCAGCCAATCGACGTTTCTCTTCTCTATCCCTTCCTATCTCTAAAATCAATAAAAACATGTTTTAAAAATAATTTAAAATTACCTATTTGTATACATAAGGCTATTTTATTATCCTATATAATAAAAGCATAATATGCTAATTAGACCAGATGTCCTTCCGGATGACCTTCTGGACGAAGCTGGGGCTGTAAGGGCTGAGGAAGAGGCAGCCGCCGCGGTGGCAGGGGCCGAGTCCCTTGCATGAATTTTGTGCATTGGGCTTCTAGTATATTATAAATGACTGTTCTTTATGTTACAACTAAGACATTACATTCATTTTTTGAAATTATGTGTATAGATTAATTATATTTTCTTTAATTTTCATTGAAGGTTTGTAATGAGAGGTATTGCATTTATTATAAAAAGTCGGCTCTGAGAATCTCACGAACAGAATATGAGCAAAAAAGCCAGACACTAAGGAGGTTTCTGAAATGAATGATTTCATTTAGTTGAAGTTCAAAACCAGATGAATGTAACTAACACTATTAGAAGTCAGGAAGGTGGCTACTTTTGGGAGGCAGGAACGTCTGAGGATGTGGCAGGGTTGAGGGTGTACTTTTGCTGATCTGGGTGCTGTTGCACAGGCGTGAAAGTTCAGATTGTGAAAGTTTAGTGAGTGCCTGTACTTTTTTGTGTATATGTTATGGTTTAATTAAAAAAAAAACCCGCAACCAAAAAGCTAAGCTGACATCACCAGTAATGAAACAAATCAACATCGCGCCGTTGCTGTGATATTCCTGCAACAAGTTCCTGACCTGGGCCTCTTCGTGAGGAAACACCTGGCAAACCCACCCGAGGGCCACTCTACTACCTGACCAGCCTGTACTCTCCCACCGTGTCCACGTCCTGAAAGACAAAGGTAGACCGAGGGACGGTCAGAGAAAAGGAGACTAAAGGGACTGGACAACTGAATGCAATACCTGATCTTGCGATTTATTTGGGTCACAAAAGGCAGTATGGGGGTAATTGGCAAAATCTTAATAAGGGATGTTGATTGGATAACAGTAATGAAACAATGTTAATCTCCTGATTTTGATTCTTGTACTGTTTATGTAAGAGAATATTTTTGTTTTTAGGAAAAAACACTAAAATATTTAGGGGGAAAAAAGGTATCATGGACCCCTGAGAATATCCTCAGGTGAGGATTAGCAACAACAACAAAAGGTATCACGGCTGAAACTTTTTGTCAAAGTTCAAAAAATGTGTATATGTGAAAAGAGAAAGAGGGGGTGGAGAGAGAGAGAGCAAATGTGATCAAACAGGGAGTCTGGGTGAACGGTCTGAAGGTATTCACTGTGCTATTTTTCTGTTTTTCCATATGTCTGAAATTATGCTAAAGTAGGAAGGTTTGGGGGTGAGGGGCTCTGGGTCTGATAGTGGAACCCTAAACGTTGGCCGTTCCTTTCTCTGTTCCCGTGGCCATTGGCAACCTCAGTTCTCCCGGGTGTCGGTGTGAAGAGGGGCAGAAACAGAAGGAGCCGGAGCCTGGCGTTTCCTGACATGGACAGGTCTTGTGTGCAGAGGTGCCGAGGGTCCATCGGCAGGGGTCTTAGCTTACAGCAAGGGCTCAGCGAATTGGCCCAGGTTGGTCAGCTCTTGGCTGCTGGCAGACACCTGAGTTTCTTTCCTCAGCATGACCTCTGACTTCAAGGGGTGCTGGATGGAGGCAGGCGCCCCAAGGACTGGAGAGCTGGTTGCTGCTGCCCTGACCTTAGCCCCCAGGAGTTTCTGGAGCCACCGCTGGCACCAGTTAAAGCGGCCTGGTTGGTGCTCAGCCCTCCGCCCAACACAGGGTCACAGGACCTCTGTGAGCAGCTTTGTGCCTAGCAACCCACATAGGGCGGGGTGGGGGTGGGGGGGAGCTCTCCTCCGGGTCCCCTCTACTGGCCCAGAAACCACAGGCTCCTGGATTTAGTGCTGGGGCCACGGCTTCAAAGGTTTGGCTGTCCCCAAACTTTTAGTCACCTGCATCTGCCGGAAATGATACCATCAGAGCCCCGCTCTCCTAGGAAAGAAAGCACTGGCTTCTCCCAAAGCATAGATGTCGTTGCTGTGTGTAGGTCATAGTTCACCGACTTGGTTCCGTGAAACACATGGAAGGTCTTTATTTTCTGTAAATCCGTGAAATCTAGCTCTAAGCCCCCGTTACATTGGGCTGGTAGGAAATCAGCCCAGTTATTCTCCTATCACATCAATGGGCAAAGGTCTGGGGGTCAGGAGGCTCTGCCAGACATCTGTCCCTGTCAGTTTGGGTCCAGCACCGTGGCCCCTTTCGCTTTAGGAGACATCTGAGGTGACCCACATCCTGAGATCCAGAGCTGTCTGCCCCCAGCGCAGCCATACCTGACTCTGCTCCCGGGAAATCTGCTTTCTCTCCCACTTCAAGTCCGACCTTCGGTCCCTCGGGACTCCCACAAACCCGTTTTATAGAGAAACGGAGACCAAGAGACGAGGGCATATAGCCGGCTGAAGAGGAGGTGATAGAATCATTCTGCCATGAGGTGTGTGCCCTCCCGGGGGCACTTGCATTTCATCAGGGAATCTTGTCGTAATTGAGCACCGAAGCTCAAATAACAGGATCTCAGGCTCTGTGACAGGGGGTTATTAGGCATAGGGGTCTTTTTGTTTTGTTTTGTTAATCCCCACCCAATGTTGTTATTTTGCATTACTTTTCAAAGAGAGTGGAAGGGAGAGAGGGACGGAGGGAGAGAGAGAGAAACGTTGATGTGAGAGAGACCCATCAACTGGCTGCCTCCCTCACCTACACCACCAGGAGACGGGAAATGAACCCGAACCCCAGGTATGTGCCCTTGACCCGGAATTGAACCCAGGAACCCTCGGTGCGTGGCCGATGCTCTAATCACTGAGAAACACCAGCCAGGGCTGTGTTTTGATACATAAAGCTCTCCTGACGAGTGAAGAGCACTAACCACACTCCTGAACACTCAGGAGGCCTTGGGGAACTGGAGAGACAGGGCAGTGCCCAGAGCAACCAAGGGCTTGCCACTCAGAGCCGGCGGAGGGGGAGAAAGAGCCCCTTCCTGAAAAGCAGAGGGACCCCGGGGAGCCCAGCTGACCCTGGGCTCCTGTGTCCCCATGCCTTTCCCACAATTCCTGCCCCAAGAGAGTAGCTCAGTGGGGATAAAGAGCCTCCTGGTCACCCTCCCATGCCCTTGAAGACCAAACCATTTGGGTTGCAGTTGGAGGGATTTAGATGAGACTCACAGGCTGCCAAGCCAGGAACTGCCAGGGCCCAGGCATGTGTCCGTACCGCAGGGCCAAGGAGGGGCAGCCAGCACCTGCCAGAATTTGCCTGTGTTGGAAGGTGGATTTGGGCCAAGTGATGCCTAGTGCTTTCTGAGCCTTAGAGAGAGAGTCGTCTGCTTCCAACCCAGGAGGCCCTCGGTCCCTGCTCTAGACTTCCAGTGGCTCCCATGGCCTCGGGTTGGGATGGGAGCTACCGCTGACCCTTGAACAATGCGGGATTGGGGTGCTGGCCCCCTATGCAGTAAAAAATCTATGTATAACTCTGACTCCCCCAAAGCTTAGCTGCTAATAGCTTACTGTGGCGCCAGGACTGTGGTGCCACCATCCCAAGGAGGGGCTGGCTGAAGTCCCTGGCAGGACTGGCAGCATCAGGCCTGTTATACCACCTCCCTCCGTGTGGCCACCACCATGCCCATCCCTCCCTTCCTCCCTTGGACCCAGTGCCCTCTCTTACCCACCTTGAATTAAGATGCTCTAAAGCAGCCCCCCACCCCCACCTCCCTCCTCAGCTCAGACCTCAACATCCACTGCTTCTTCGTTCTCCCCTCCAGGGGCCTGCAAATGCTGTGTGTCCACCCGAGAACTCCTCCCCAGGGTTCTCGGTCCATGTGGAGGCCTCACTCTCTATCCAGGGACACACCCCAGACTCCCCTCCCCCTCTCGGATAGCTAAATGCTGTCTTATGAGCTCCACCTTCTAAATCTCTCTCATCCATCTCCCCTGCTCCCCACCTCCACCACCCTGTCCCCTCTTTCCTGGCCACCGGCCACCCCTCCTCCCTGATGCCATTCCTGCGGACCCACCTACACTCCACAGGGATTTTCCCCCTTTCACATCTGGCTCTGACCCTCCTCTACCCCAGACCCTTTATGCCTCCCCAGTAGCCCTGGGAGAATCCCAGGCTCCAGCCCCACCGGTCCTTTCAGTCCCACAAACACTCTGCGCTCTCTCACCTCTGAGCTTGCACACCAGCTTCTTCCCTCAGCTTCAAACATTTCATTCCCTTCTCTCTGCCTTGGCATTTGTTTTTTTCACCAGATGAGGTAGGCTCCTCCATTTCTCTGCCTCCCATAGCCCCTGCCTGCCCTCCGTATAACCCTTACTTGCTAAGTACCCATGTCCCTCCCAACATACTGTGCTTCCCTCACCACTGTCGCCTCCCCAATGCCTAGAACAGAACTTGACATAGCACAGGCACTCAAGGGGTATTTGCTGCATGGATGAATGAATTTATTAATCATTGCATGGATGGATTGTCATGTAGGTGGCTTTGGTGGCTGGGGGTGGGGGGACGAGGGGAGATACTACATAAGCTGTAGCCAGTGCCTGCCCCTGGCAGCAGGTGGCTGGAGGGAGAAGGCCACGTCACCTCCAGCAGGCTGGGTGCTATTTTTTTATTTTAATGGCCTGGCAGTGAGGTGCGTGCATGGCGGAGGCCTGCAGAAGAGGTAATGCCGAGAGGGTATGCCCATCTCTAATTATTGCTTGAGTCGTTCTGGCAATGTCAGCTGCCCGCCCCAGAGAGCTGGGTCTCGTCCATCACAGTGTGAGCTCAGGGTGGGGCTGCCGCCACTGGCAGTGGGAAGAAGATCAGAGGAGGTTCCCAGGGACCTTTGGATCTTGGAGAACAGAGGCAGCTCTAGGCTTGGAACATGCTCAGCTCTTGTCCTTCCTGTCCCCCGGGGCAGCTGAAGAGTGTCTCCTGACTTGGGGATCCCATCAAGAAGCCTAGAGGGTGGCCAAGGAGCAAGCCAGCTGAAGAGGGGGGTCCACAGCACCCCCAGGCAGGGAGCCTTAGATGGTTTGGTGTCTGCTGACATGGAAGCCCTTGGGAAGATGGTGTCCTAGTGGCCAGCTGGGCAGCCGGGCAGCTCAGGCCCGGAAGGAGGCCTTGACCAAACGGCCCATCAGTGGCTGTGGTGGCCGGAAGTTGTTCACCATGTGGATCCTCTCGTCGTCCACTGAGGTGAAATGCAGGCCCCGAAACTTCTCCATCTTGAGGAGACAAAAGAAACTCAGGGCAGAATGGGGGATGCTGTGATACCCTCTGATCCCAGACACATCATCTGGCATACCTCTGCCTCTCCTCCCTCCTCTTCCCCTTAGGGTGTGTCCCCAATTCTCCCCACTCCTTCTCTCTTTGGGACCCCAGTCTCATTTATTTATTCACTCAAGAGCCACTGACCCTGCTTCACCTACTTCCAGTTCCAATCCCATCTAGTGAACACTTATCAGCAAATGTAACATTTAAGATTCTAACACAGTCGGCGAGATCTCAGGATCCAGGGATCTCCCCTCCCAGCCTGTGTCTACGTCCTAATGACCATCCATCAAGCCAACTCCCACCTAAGAATCTAAACGTTTATTAGCAAAAGATGGGAGTCTCCATGGTGGGCCCACAGGCTGTGGGTTGCTGGTTGGAAGAGTCCCACTGCTGGGGTGGACCCCGAAGGCCACATCCCTCCACCTGGAGGACTGACCTGCCTTTCAGAGATGCTGATGGGCTCTCGGAGCACAATCCAGGTGACGCTCTCACTCAGAGGGGGCGTGGTCAAGGAGCCGGGGTAGGTCCAGTAGTGCCGGCTGGCAGGCAGGAGGCAGTTGGGCTGGAAGCAGCTGAACTGGGCCGTGGTGCCCTGCATAGGGAAGGAAACCCAGAAATCAGCATAGACCTCCCACCAGGACCAGACCTGCAGCCCCCCTACCTGTTTCTGTCAGGGGGATCTAGGCTTCTCCTTGGCTCATGGATGCAAATAGTGGGCAAATGCCTGTGATCCCCGATGCCATCTCCCAGCCGGGACCAGGCCCTGTCCACCCATTTGCTCGTATGTAAAAGCTGCAGGAGCTCTTTGGCCACATGTCTTGTCCCTTGCCTTCAGCGGCCCTTAGTGGCACTGCCCGCGGGACAACCGTTAACGAATGTGACAAGTATCTTATCAATCCTCTACCCACCGAGATGGCACGCTGGGCACTCCATGGGACCCCTGACCCTGGTGAAGAGGAGTCAGGTGCAGGATGCTGCAGGCGCTGACCTGCCCCCTTCATCTCACCAAGAATGGAAGAGTGGATGGGTCTGCTCTGTGATGTAGCCTCTTCCCTTCCCCCACCAGGCTGCTCGGGGTCAGAGGCATGGACCCCTGGTCTCACCTTAAACCGAACCATGTAGAGTGCGTCTGTCAGACGGTTCATGTAGGGGTGTTCAGCCCCGATCTGTCAGGGAGAGGGTAGTGTGAGCCCGGCACCACTGGATTCTGAAAATAGGGGCAGTTCCAGGCCTTTCATGCCCCCCCCCCCACCCTAGCCCTGGGTAAACCACCCCCCTCACCTCCAAGAAGACACCGACCACAGCCAGGCCGTCAGGTGCTGAGGCCGCCTCCCCAAAGGTGCTGTACTTCTTGGCGTTCCAATGAACCAAGTGCAGCTATAGGGTTAACAACAGGCCAGACCAGTGCTCAGCACTCCCTGGGCCACAGGAGCTCAGAGCAAGGCTTCTCTCACTCCCATCAGACTCCTGGCTCCTCTGAAGGAAGGACAGGCTGCCCAACCGCCCGCCAGGGGCCTAGCTAGCATCCTATGTGGCCCTGGGGAGCCCCCAAAGGGCACAGAAGCATCTGCCCTGCTCTGGGCCCAACCCTTTCCTGAGCCCCAGGGAACCAAAGAGGAATCCGGCTCAGGCCCTGCCCTCCGTGAACTAACTATAAAATAGATAATGACCATCCAGGGACACGCCCTGAGGAAGAGGCACTTGCACTGAGTCCAAAGAATAATTAGGGGGTAATCAGGCGGAACCTTGGGGGAAAGGTATTCCAGGAAGAATACCTGGAGGTATGGGTGTGAAAGAGCCAGGTGTGGGCGGGGCTTCATCACCTGCAGTGCAGCGTGGGGACCGTGTAGGGGAGGAGGAGGCTCAGCAAGGCCTTGAATGCTAAACACAGTCCTTGAAGGCTTATTAGCAAGGGTGTGGCGGGACTGGATTTGTCCTGCAGAAAATTCCTTCTGGACACACAGACCCGGGAAGCAGTGGGCAGAGTTCAGGTAGAAGATCCTGGGCTGGGGGTAGGTGGAGGACGTTTCTCCCAGACACTGGGTGCTTGTCCTCAGTCTCTCCAGAACTCCATACCAGGCATCTGCCAAACTCCTGACTATCCAGTCCCCCACTCCTTCCCCAAAGGGATTCCCACTGAGGAGGGTCCTTACCTCGCAGGGGAATGACTTGCCGTCCACCATGTGCTCTGAGCCCACATTGTGCATCTGGCCCCAGTGGAAATGGAACTGCTTGAGCCGGTAGGGCCCATCCAGGGGGCCCCCAGTCACCACTGCGGGTAGAAGTGGGGCGTGTAGCAATCCATGTGAGAGAGTCCACAACAACCGGCAGGTGCTGGTGCCAGGATCAGGGCAGTACCCAAGAGGGAGGTACATTTTTCATTTGGAAAATTGGTTGGGCTAATTGGTCTTGGGTCAGTCTCCACTCTGTTCCCTGGGCCCTTAGCTGGGCCAGGGCAGAAGTCCTGGCAGCCTGCAGGTGGCAGAGAGTGTGGCACTGACAGAATACATCTCTCCATTCTCCCCATTCCTGACCAATTTTGCATGGAAGCTGGAACCTTGCCTCTAACCCGCCCCCCCCCCCCCCATTATCACTAACAATATGTCCCCCATGTCTGGAGCACTGACTGAGGATTAAGTCAGAAGGATTATTTTGTTTAGTTCTCATAGTAGTTCATGAGGGCTAGAACCTATTATCTCTATTTTGTAAAGGAAGAGGCCAAGGCACAGAGAGGGCAAGGCATTTGCCCAGGGTCACACAGCAAGGCACTGAGCTAGGAGATAAGCCTGCATATCCCTTGTAAGTCCAGAGCCCAAGCCCCTAATCACCAGGCCATGCTGCCTCCTCAGGACCTAGTGTTGTCCAGAGGCCAGCTCCTGAGGGTCCCCACTCTGGTGGCTGGACCCAGATACCTCCAATGGTGGGCCCCATTTGTGCTGGTTTTATGACTTTCCCACCCTGATATCTGGTGAGCTGGGGCCACGCCTAAGGCCTCCTGAGACTTATTGAATTTCTAGCTGAAAGGGATCTGGCAGTGGAGGGAGCTCCTGCCAGGCCTGAATGTGAGCCCCTGGATCAGGTGACTGCCCTGGGCTCAGAGTTCCACTAGACCTCTTCAGGATGGTGACCAGGCCAGGGCCTTGCCCCCTGTGGGCCCCTGGAGGAGGAGGAGGAGGAGGAGGAGGAGGAGGAGGAGGAGGAGGAGGACGAGGAGGAGGACGAGGAGGAGGACGAGGAGGAGAAGGAAGAGCAGGAGGGGGAAGAAGAGGAGGAGAGAGGACAATCCTTGCTATCTGTCCTGCCTTATCTGAGAAGCAGGGCCTTCAGGCTGAGCTCCCTGACACGGCCTGTGGGGACCTCCCCTCCCCCTCTGAGCATGCTCTACCTGGGACCCAAGTGTGGTCTCTCAGAGAATGAACTCCTTCCCTAACCCCTTGAACTTGGCTCCCTTGGCCTCTTGCTGACCATAAAACACACTGCCATTCACTGTGCACTTACTGTATTCTGAACTCCATAGGTGTCAACCCCCACAGAGACCTTGAGGGGGACACATGGTTATCCCAATTGTACAAATGTGAGACTAAGGCTCAGAAAAGTAGGTATTCTGTCCAGGGTCACACAGCTATTGAGTGGCACAGCTCCAATCATCTCTTCCCCCAAACCTACCTTCTTCCCACTGGCTCCCTGCCCTCTCAGGCCTGGGTGTTCTGGTAGGGGAGGGAACCCCAGCGGACTTAACAGTGAGCCCCTGTGTCAGTGGTTCAGGGGCATGCCCCTTGGGCCTTCTACCCCCACCCCATACAGTGGCCTTCATTGAGCTACTGAGGTCTGAATTGAACCCTCAGTGCCCTCCGTTTAGAAGGCACAGCCATATGAAAACTGCTCCTTCATAAACCTAACCTAAGGTTGGTTATCAAGAGCCCCATGTCCCTCTCCAAAGCTCTGGGTGAGAGGCTTCTCCTACAATTTAGTACCAGGAAATGCTGTTTCTCTTCTGAGGATCTGCTAGATTTGCTCCCTTCTGCAGCAAGAACTATAACTGATCCTCTTTTCCTTTTTTCCTAGCCTAGCAGGGAACTCAGAGCTAAGCAACTAAAATCAGTCCCATCTGACTTCCCTCCTCTTCAAAATTTTTTTTTTTAAACTTCAGAGAGGAAGGGAGAGGGAGAGAGAAATAGAAACATCAATAAGGAGAGAGAATGATTGATTGGCTGCCTCCTGCATGCTCCCCACTGGGGATCGAGCCAGCAACCGGGGCAGGTACCCTGACTGGGAATCAAATATGACCTCCTGACTCATAGGTCAATGCTCAACCACTGAGCCATGCCGGTTGGGCTGCCCTTTGATTTTTTTATTTGAAACTTAAGTTCCCTTGAGTGCTTTTATTATGTGCATGGAGGAGAGCGGGCGGGGTAGGCAGAGTTCCTGTCGCTTTCTTACACAAGAAACTCCAGCAAGTTTCCTCCTTGCCCCACTCCACCCCTCGTAAGTCTGATCATAAGGACACAATTCCTTCACGGAGGAGCACTTCTGAGGCCCTCTGCCTAGGAATTTATCATAAAAGAGCCTGGACTTTAATCCCAGGGCAAAGAGACCTTGGAAAGAGTGCCACGAATTCCTGCTGGCCTCACTCTGGCCCAAGATCTTGAGGTTGAATGTGGGCTGGAAAGAAGACCTTTGGAGTTGGACTGGCTGGTTTGCGCCCTCCCCAGCTCACTGAGTCTCTACTTGCCTATCTTTTTATTTTTTTTTAATCCTCATTCGAAGACATATTTTTATTGATTTTTAGAGAAAGAGAAGAAGGAAGGAGGGAGGGGGGAGAGTGAGATGATGTGAGAGAGAAACATTGATCAGCTGTCTGTTGTACCTGCCTGTCTCCACTGGGGATCAAAGCCACAACCTAGGTATGTGCTCTGACTGGGAATCAAGCCCACAGCCTTTGGTGTACAGGACGATGCTCCAACCGAGCCAGCAGGCCAGGGCACCTACTTGCCCATCTTGGAGGTAGATTCTTGAGAGGAATAAAAGCTGCCTGTGACCTTAGCAAGGGGCCTGGCACAGAACATTTTCGTTCCTTTCTCTCTGCTGGGCTTGGCCAGGGCACACAAAGAGGAGGGTCTAGCCTTAGGCCACACAGCCCTACAGTGATGGGGCAGGGAGTGAAGTGAAAACAAACCTGACCTAAAGCACTAAATAGAAGAGAAGGAAGGGAAGTAGCGTTTCTTGAGCTTCTGAGCATCTGCTGTGTGCCAGCACTACAAACATCGCTTCAGTTTTTCATTTTTCCTCTCTATGACCCTAGGGAGCAAAATAAGGTCTTATTACTCTCATTTTATGCCTAAGGAGGCCGAGGCTCAGGCCACGGCTTCACAGCTGGCGAGAGGTGGAGCCTTTCCCCCCCTACCGCATGCTGCCCCTCCTGTGCCTGCCCCAAACAGGGTTCGTTCCCCAGGTGGAGCGGTGCCAGGGTCTGTGAGGGGCCGCTTACCAGATCGATCGTCGCTGTCGTTGAAGTCCACCTGGACAGAGTGGCCATTGTTGGCAAGGCTGAGGGATGTGCAGGCCTCATAGGAAAGCTGCAGTGGCTTCAGGCTGGGCGAATACACAGCCTGTCTGGATATGATATTGATTGGTGATTGGCGGTCTCCCTGGGCAATGGGATACTGCTTGTACCACTGTGAGGGGCCTGCAGGTGGGGAGAGGGTAAGGACTCAGGCCAGCCCAGGTGTCTCCCGGGTATCCTTTCAGACCTTGGCCCCTGCTTCAGAGCTGTGTGGCCCGGAGCTCCAATCCCAGCTCTGCCACTTACCCTCCATTTCCTTGTCTTCGAAATGACCTCATGAAAACTCACCACCCAGAGCTGATAGGAGGCCCAGAGAGGTGATGCGTGGAAGAGAGCACAATACAGCCATAGGCTGAGGGGTGGTTCTGGGCAGTGGGTACATGGTCAGAGGGACCCCTCCCTCCCCAGGCATCTGAAGCTCCTGACCTGATCCTACCAGGAATCTGGCCTTTTCCTGCACCTTGGGTATGTTCGGCTTGCTGTTTGTGATAATAATAATAAAAGCTCCCATCATCCTGGCTTTGGCTGTGTGACATGCATTTGTTCCTTACAGCCACGTTGTGAAGCAGAAACCAAGGTGGTCCTCATTTCACAGAGGAGAGGACTGAAGACCACTCAGGTATGTGCACACATGCACTTGGGCACTGGTATAAACACAGCACATGCATGAACTGCTCCCAGCTGTCCTCCCCAGGCGTGTGCCTACCGATCCACAGAGATTCTCACATATGCACCCATGTGCATAGCGACCGGAGCTCACTGGGCCCTGAGCAGCGAGGCCCAGCAACACACATGTGTACAAACACACACATACCCTGCTGACTATACCTGACACACACATATGCACCCTTACCCAGAGACTGCCTGTTGCAAACCCAGACCTGCACTAAGGGACTACGGCAAAACACATGCTGGTACACACACACACACACACACACCTGCGTGCACACCCACACACCTGCATGCACACCCACAGGCACCCACCCCCTGCCTCCCAGAGGCTCCATCTGTAGCCGAGAGCCTTCTCCCTGGGGAACATCCTGAGATGCAGCCTATTTTTAGAGCTATTGCCGGCTGGTGCTTCTCCCTGTCTTTTGGCTTCTTAAGTTTTCCTGAGAAAATAGCAGCAGGTGCCAACAGAGCTGTGTCCCCAGTGGATGACTCAGATCGAGGTCCAGACTCACTGGGTTATTTTTTGAAGTCTCGTGAGTATGCCGCCTGCTGGCACCTCTATCCATTGTCCTTTTCTCCCTCCGTGCCCTTAAACTGGACCACCCAGGTCTGGGTGGGTGAGGGGCAGCAAGCAGTCTGAGGGTGGCTGGCCATGGGGCAGGCCTATAGGATATTGGATGCTCAGAGCGCGTGGGCAGGACTAGAAAGAAGGCTGGAGTTAGGGGATTCTGACTCTGGGGGAGCACACGGAAGCTGGCTTGGAGCAGGTGCTGGGGGGAAGATGGTCTCGTATGGGTTGTCAAGCGCCCCTTTTCTGCCTCTCTCTCCATCTCTGCTGGTCTCTGTTGCCTCTTTCTAGCTTCTGCATGCCCAGATCTGGAGTTCTCCCCTCCAAAAGATGCTCCTGTGTCCTTGGGGTCCCAGAGGGGGCCAGATATACCACAGCATCTCTCTAACTCCCTCTGGCCCATGGCAACCTCCTGACCCCAGATTGTAGTCCTCAACCCCCAGTGACTGCCTCTCCCCAGAGAAGGGGGGTGGGGTGGGGGTTGAGGAGTGTTCCTCCCCTTGCATTTGCCTTTCTCCCACCCCCACCTGCCCTGCCTGGGTCTACCGGCAGCCTGGATCTTGGGTCCTTATTGTTCACCCCAGGGAAAGGGGGGAAACCCTTACCCCCCCCCCCCATCTCAGCATGGTAGGAAAAGGCCCAAAAAGGAACTGACCTGCCGCAGACCCACACTCAAGCAGCCTGCCTCTGCTCCCTTCCTCTGCATCCTATGGAAACTGAGGCAGAATGAGGAGCTATTTTCCAGGTCACACCAGGAGGATGGTGTGGGCCACGCCTCACGCCGGGACGTGTTCAGACACCCTGCTCCATGGAGATACCCAGACACATACGTGGGCACCCAAATGATCCATTCCCTCCTGTACCTGCCAACAGGTAAGCGCCGAACATCCCTCAGGGAAACTCTCCCGGGGACGCTACGCCCTTGTCCTGGCGGAGCCGGACTCAGGAGATTCCTGCGCACTCCGCATCCCGCATCCCGCACCCACGTACCGCGCTCCGCCCCCGATCGACCTCCCTCTCCCCGCTGCGCTGGGTCACCTCCATCCCCAGTGCCCGCGAGGGGAGAGTGAGTGTGTATCGCGGCCGGCCCGGGTCCGAGTGCGTGCGGCGGTCGGGGGCTGCGCGGAGGAGGCGGCACAGTGCAGCTGGCGGCCGTGCGCTGGGGCGCAGCGCGGACTTTGCGCCAGGAGCAGGGGAGCCAGGGCTCGGGCTGGGCAGGTGGGCCGGGTTCTGGGGTGCTGGATGGGATGGGGGTCCCGGTCTGGCCTGAAGGGTGCGGGATTTGCGGGTTCGGGAAGCCCGGCCGGGCGCGAGGGTCAGGGGGCGAGTCGCCGCGGATCCGGGCCAGCCGGGGTCTGCGCCTACCGTCCTTCTGGCCGTAGCCCCAGCCGTGGTGGCCGGTCATGCCGCCGCCGTCCCGCAGTCGTGCACCTGCCGGCTGGACTCAGTTCCGCTGGCTCAGCTGCGGCTCCCGCCCCGCTCGCTGCTGCGGAGCAGCCTCTTAAAGCGATGGCAGGCGGAGCAGTTCCCGGGAGACCCGCCCTCCCCCCCCCGCCCCCCCCCGCCCCCCCACTCAGGGCGAGAGAGGCCGGCCCTGCACCGCCCCGTCCGCAAGCTAGTTGAGCCCCCAGTGGAGATGCGGGGCTAGGGGGACGTAAACCTCTCCAGTCCTGGCCTGGCGACTCTCCCTCCTCCCTTCCAGCACGTGTACAGGCTCTGGGAGGAGAAACCCGCTCGTGCGGAGGGACGCCCGGGACATTCCCTCCCCTCTCCAGGCTTGTCCCCAAGCAGTAAATCCCACCACCGAGGACCTGCGCCCTGGGCCCTGCGTCCTCTGGGTTTGGAGAGTCCCCTTTAAATTGCGAATTGCACTGACCATCGTGTCCAGAACTGGAGCTTCCCCCTGTTTGCCAGACACTGTGGCAGGTTCTGGGCCAAGCTTTGGGTCTATCCTGTTCTCTGAACCTCTCAGCTTCCCTAGAACATTGGGTGGTACTGCCATTAGGCCTCCTTCAGAGTAGGGGATGAGGCCTAAGAGGTGCAGTGACTTGCCCCATGCTACTAGCCAGCTAGTGAGTGATTCACTCCCAGTTTGTGTCATTCCAGGTACTGTGCTCTTTACCACTTCCCTGGGGATGGGGGCCAGTGGGTCCTGTGGGTGCAGGGGTCTAAGGAGCCTTGGGGGAGGGCAAGGGCTGTCCAAACCCCTAGCCCAGGAAAAGCCAGAGCCTTAAAGGCAAGTGGGACGTTTTGGCACTAACTAGCAGCATGAAGACAGACAGGTCCATACCCACCAGCTGGCTCACCCTTGGATCCAAGTTGCAGACCTTGCCTCCCACCCTCTCATTCTCTCCATTGCTTCTTCATTCTGTCCGGGACTCTGCCTGTCCCTGTGCAGCCCACTGTTTGTCCCTCCTTTTTTCTTGCCTCCCATGACTTTCGGCACACATGCAGGGAGCTCAGGCCCCTCAAACGCAGTCAACCTCATTGCCTGCCGAGCTTGGCCCAACGTTTTCCCACCCTCTAGGTCTGGGCCTTGCTGTGTCCTCCACCTGGTACATCCTTTGTCTTCCACCTGCTCGTTCCAACCTGGCCCAACCTAATTCATCTTAGGATGTGCCTTATGCCACGACTAGGGCCAGTGTGTGGCTACGATGAACAGATAGGTGGGTGGAAGGACAGGAAATGATCCCACCACGGTGCCTATACCCAACAGGAGTTAAAGGGCCATTTGTAGAATGTCTGCTGGTCTGACCTTGACCAGAGGAGACTTTTTCAGGCCCTGCTCTTGGCTGTCCTTGTGAAGGATTCTGCCATTCTGTCTGTCTGACTCCCCTGCATCTCCATGGCTGTCTTAATCAGTTCCCCTCTCCTCGGCCCTGAACCCCAGTTCCCCAGGAAGACTTGTGGAGATGAATTGACAACTTTCAAGGTAAGTCAGTGATTTCTCAGCCCTGCCTAGATACCTTTCTCTGACCCAGGAGCAGGAAGGGGCTCTTAATATAAATTTGGCCCTCAGGTGTGGACGGGGGACTCATGATAGAGATGCAAGAGTGGCCCCAAGACCAACAAATGAGAGAGAAGGCAACATTGCCAAGGCCCCAGGTCTCCAAGCCAGAAATGTCATCTTCAGACCAAGAAGGTGAACGCCTGCTTCCACGTGACCTGCAGCCTCTGTTCAGCTCACAGAGGAGCCTGCCTTCTCCTGGGGGAGGTGTCACACCCTCAGGACCTGTGTCTACTTCATTGACCCACTTCCCTCTCACAGTGACCCAGGCCTTCTCCAAATTTATTTACAGCATTAAAAATAAATTGGAATTATTTGTATAGTTTTGCATCTAGTTTCATCTGCACAGCACTCCTGGGGGGATTTCACCCCATTTTACAGATGAGGAAAGCAAGGCTCAGGGAAGTTTAATTATGGTGCATAGTGAGTGACAAAGCAAGGATGAAAACCCAAGGCTGCTGAGTCCCTTATTCAGTATGTCTAAAATCACAGGGAGCGGGGAGAAGTGGATTTTAAATTTGGTTGTCATTTGTGTATATATGCTTTGCATATATATATGCATGACTCTGGAAGGAGTTAAGAGAAACTAGGGAGGATATTTGCCTCCAAGGAGGAGAGAGGGAGACCAGAAGGGCGGGGGAGGGGGAGGAATAGGGGTGGGAGGGACACACTGTACCGCCTCCTCCTTTCAAAAGAACTAAAATGTGTACAGTTGACTCTTGAACAGCATGGGTTTGAACCGCACAGCTCCACTTATACATGGATTTTCCCCCCAATAAATACATTCAGTACTATAAATGTATTTTCTCTTTCTTATGATTTTTTTAGTAGCATTTTCTTTTTTCTAGCTTAGTTGACTGTAAGAATACAACATATGACACATATAACATACAAAATATGTGTGAATAGACTGTGTTATCAGTAAAGCTTCCGGTCAACAGTAGGCTATGACTAGTTAAGTTTTAGGGGAGTCAAAGTGATACGTGGAATTTCGACTGCATGGGTGTGGATTGGTGTCACTAACCCACGCATTGTCCAAGAGTCAACTGGATTACCTCTTTAACAACCAAATAAAAGTTGATCCAATTCTTTCCTTCCTGCAGCTTGACTATCAAAAATTTCCTCCCAGTGCTGGAGTGCTGGGAACTCAGGAAGATGAGAGGCGCCGATGGAGCCTGCCTGTCTCAGATGAAGCCCCAGTTGTCCCGGCAGCCATTCAGGTCAACTTGGTAAAGCCCGCGCCCTCATTCAGGCGCCTCCTGTCTCAATTACGTGCTGTCATTAAAGCTGAATTGATTTCACTGCTCTGGAGTTTACTCTTTGGTCTCATTGGTGTCAGTGGCTCCTGGATTTTGCTGTTTCTGGAGGAAGGAGAGCATGGGGATGTGAGGGCTGTGCTGAAGGGCTGGGGAGGAGAGCAGGAGCAGCTTGCATAGCCACACCTCATTCATAAAGCAACTTTGACCTGATCTCACTTTCCTTCTTGAAGGTACAGTGTTTTTGCTCTATAGCTGATACCTTGTCCACTACCTTGTCCACTTCAAGGGCATTCCTGTGAGCATTGGTTGAAAAAACAGGTGTCCAACTCTGCACCAACAAGCAGAATCATGCCTGCTCTTCATAGTATATTATGCACAGGACCAACAGGCAGGCTAGAAGCCCTATGGCCTAGAGATTCTAAGATCAGAATTATCATTTCTTGTGTGTGTGTGTGTGTTTTTTTTAAAAAACATTTCCACTCCAAGCATGTGTGGGGATGTGTGCAGCAAGCAGTGGGATATAATGATCCTAGGCTGTGGACTCAAGACAGATCTGGGCTTGGCTTCCAGCATCACTGGCTGTGTGACCTGGGGCAAGTTGCTTCACCTCTCTGAGTCTGTTTTCTCATCTGTAAGATGGGAATAGAGAGTCTAGAAGGCTAATAGTATAGTCAGGTAAGGTGATTCCTGGCACCAAGGATGCACCCCTGAGACCCTAGGACCTCTGTTCTTTCCCCTTTCCTTACCTTGTTGGGCCCATTTAAAACCCCAAACATTCCTTTGCCAATTATAGTGGTGGCAACTATTCACTGCAGAAAATTTGGAAGAATCAGAAAAGTATATAGAAGAAAATTTAAACAACTGATCATGTGACTCAAGAATCAGCACTGTTAACATTTTAGTGACCATCCTGCCTGGCTTTTTTGATACATATTAGTCATACTTTAAAAACAATCAGAATCACATGTATTCACATGTATAGCTTTGTGATCAGTTCCCCTCCCTACCCCCCTCTCACACACCCAAAGCCCTATGGTTAGCATTTTCCTGTTTGGTCAGCCTTGGAGAACTTGACACTTAACAACTGCACAATGGTTTAGTACAGTGGTTGGCAAACTCATTAGTCAACAGAGCCAAATATCAATAGTACAACGATTGAAATTTCTTTTGAGAGCCAAATTTTTTAAACTTAAACTATATAGGTAGGTACATTGTTATTAACTTAATTAGGGTACTCCTAAGGCTTAGGAAGAGCCACACTCAAGGGGCCAAAGAGCCGCATGTGGCTCTCCAGCTGCAGTTTGCCGACCACGGGTTTAGTATATGAGTTATTTCCAATTTTCATTATTATAAATAGCACTGCAGTGAACATTCATATTTATACATCTTTGTGTGTGTCTGATGCTTTCTTGGGATAAACTGCTAGAAGTGGGGTTACTATATCAGATGATATATACATTACCAGTAAGGCACTTAAAAATGTAAAGTAGTTTCAGAAACGCATTCTTTCATTCAACAAGCATCTGTTGAAGATTTATTAGACTGCCAAGTACTGGGCCAGGCATGGGTGATACAACTGTGAACATGACAGACCCACAGCTGTTTCGGGAGGGGTGGGAAAGAGAGGTAAATTATTGGTCAATAAAAACCAGGGTGAGAAGGGCTAGGATGGGCAAAGGGCAGGCAGAGAAGGTTAGTGGCCGAGGCCTGGGAGAGTGTCCTGGGTTGTGACTGATTCTTCCTGGCTGTTTTCCTATAGATTATAAACTCTTCTAGGGCAGAGCTAGCCCCAAACTTCCTGGGAGCTCGCTAATCCAGTCTCCACCAGCTGGGACCAACAATGATGGGTAACAAAATAGACCTGAGCTGGGTCTGGCCAGATCAGTTGGGGTGATTATTTCTAATCTCTACACCACCTCTTAATAGCTGTGAGACTTTGGAATTTTACTCACCCTCCAAGCTTCTGTTCTCTTGTCTGTGAACTGGGATGAGCAATAGTGTCTGTTCATTGGATCAGCACAAATGGGCACAAAATGAGGTGATGCACATCAAGGGCCTGCCTGGCATCTAAGTGCTCAGTAATGTGGGTAGGGGCTCAGTTTTCCCATCTGTTCAGTGGGAGATTGGCCTAGATTAGAGGTTCTCAACCTTGAGAGTGCATCAGCATCACCTGGAGGGCTTGCTCAAACAATTTCCTGACCTCATCCCAGAGTTTCTGATTCAGCAGGTCTGGGATGGGGCTTGAGGATTTGCATTTCTAACAAGGTCCCGGGTGATGTTGATGCTGCTAGTCCTGGACCACACTTTGAAAACCAGCTTAAATGAATGCAGCCATGGTTTCCTGTTCTGATACCTGATTCTTCGTCCTCCACAGTAACAAAGACTCATTCATGGGCCTTGAGTTCCCAGATGGCAGAGTTTGTATCGGTTCAATCCCCACAGCTCCAGCACAGGTGCTTTGCTATTATGGGTTGAATTGTATCCTTCAAAAGCTGTTGAAGTCCTAACCCCCAGTACTTGGGAATGTGATCTTATTTAGAAACAGGGTTTTTGGAGATGTATTCAAGTTAAGATGAGGTCATTAGGATGAGCCCTGATCCAATGCGATTGGTGTCCTTATAAGAAAAGAAGGACAGATAGAAACATGAGGGGAGAATGCCACGTGACAATGGAGGCAGCGATTGCAGTGCTGCAGCTGTAAGCCAGGGATTACCAGCAAACCACCAGAAGCTGGGAGGCAAGGAAGGACTCTTTCCTTCAGGCTTCTAGCTTTCAGAACTTTGAGACAATAAATTTCTGTATTTTTCAGCCAGCCAGTTTGTTACAGCAGTCCTAGGAGACTAATACATTGAGGGATTTATTTTTATATTTTACAGATACCACCAATGCAGATCTTTTCAAAATCATACATTTTAAAAAAATATATTTTTATTGATTTCAGAGAGGAAGGGAGAGGGGGAGAGAGATAGAGACATCAATGATGAAAGAGACTCACCGATCAGCTGCCTCCTGCACAACCCACACTGGGAATCAAGCCCGCAACCCAGGCACATGCCCTGACCGGGAATCGAACTGTGATCTTCTGGTTCATAGGTTGACACTGAGCCATGCTGGCTGGGCTACAGTTTTTTTTTCATAGGCAGTATGACTCCCCTGACCCCCCAAATTTAGGGATGTTTTCTTTCATGCAGTGCATAGGACTGCACTGAGCATGAGAAGCTAAGCAGTGAACTCTCACCCATCTCCTTTTGACCTTCCTACATTCCCTGGGCATATTTTATTATCCCTTATATTTCATCTGTCCGACTGGAGAAGGAAATGATAGCATAAGCACGTAATGTGCTGGGAGAGCCTCATGCCTTTGTTTCCCATCAGTTGTTCCATGGGTGCTGGGTAGGGGCCAGGGAAATCATGAGAGGGTGTGCCTCAACCTTGACCCCAGAGACAGCACCCGGGGGAATTGCATCCATCGTTACTACAGGATTACTGTCAAATTGTGTTTCCACCCCTGTCTACATCCCAGGGTAGGTTGGGCTTGGAGATTTGTGCTCATTTCCACCTTATTTCAGGCAATTATTAACCTGAAGTGGCTGTAGGGACTTAGTGAGAAAGGAATCCTGACCGCACTGCCTGCTGGTCTCCTGGTTTCCAGCGTCCTCTCCTTCCCTCTTCCTTATGGAGGCTGCCACCCATCCCCACAGGGCAGCCGTCCTCTTCCTGAAAGTGATTCTTTTCAGAAAGCAAAGGGCTTTAAATTCCTCCTTGCTTGTTTGTTCATGGTCCTCACAACTTGGCCCCTGCTGTCCCTCAAACCTCCTCTGACCACTCCCTACCCTTCACCTAACTCCCCACCCCATCAAACTCATTTAGTGCCTCCAGCCTGCCATGCCTTCTCTGCTTCCCCAGATGACACCCGCTGTTCTGCTTAAAACATTCTTCCTTGCCCACACCACACCAAACATTCCTGGGGGGTGGGTGAGTGGTGTGCCTCTGTGCACCTCTCAGCTCCCCCATCTCCTCTATCTATAGGATGGCCATATTGTCTAGTAAGTACTTGTCTACTGTTCCTCTCCCCTCTTGGGCTGTGACCTCCCCAAGAACAGGTCTTATTCATCTTTGGTCTTTGTACCTGCAGCCGGGAGCAGCTAGCTAGCTTTGTGGTTGGAAACAGGTCCTCAAAGTGTTGCATGAGATGATGGGTGAAATGGGTAAATCATCATCATCATCATCATCATCATCATAAGGAAAGGTATTATTCAGACAGGATTTTTTGTGAGTGTGGTTCTGTATATTCAAAAATCTCATTTAATTCTAATAGAATCCTTTGACGGAGACCCATTTATCCCCATTGCACAGATGAATACGCGGAGGACTTGCGAAGTAAAAAGCGGGTCTCACAACTAGTTAAGTGGTTAAAATCCAAACCGGCCTGAGTCCAAAGCCCGAGTCCCCGCCAATCGCCGCACGTAGAAAATCACCGAATGGCGGAGAGTGGGGCTGGTGCAGGGAGGGAAGACTTGACCAACCAGTCCCGGTCCAGGTCCCGGCTGCGGTGGCATTTGCGCCAGCAAACCCGCGACGCGTGCGCAGTGCAGTGGCGGCGCCCCCTGCGGGCGGCGCGCGGGCGGCGGCGGCGGGCCCTTAGTGCGCCTGCGCGCCGGCGGCGGAGGTGGCGGTACTTTGCAGGGCACCGGCTCTTCGCGCGCCGCCGCGGCCATGGCGCATCCGGGGAAGCTGCTCAAGGAGCAGAAGTATGACCGGCAGCTGAGGTTAGCCGGGGCTCACCGCGTCGGGCGGGCGGGCCAGTGAACCCTCTGCGTCCGTGCCGGGCCTAAGCGAGCGAGCGGCGCGGCCGGGCCTCTCAGGCCTCCCGCCGGGCCCGCCCCTGCAGGGCTCGGGAGCCGGCGCTCGGGCCTCCAGCCTGAGGCTGGGGGTGCTTCTGCAGGGCCGACCTCCTGCCCGCGGGGCGCGCCCGCCCTCCGAGCAGTGTGTTGTTGGAGGTGCGTGGTGCCCAC